ACAACCCACCTAAGGAGCTCTGGTAGCGTAGTGGTTACGAGACGGGCTGCCAACCTCAAGGTCAGCAGTTCGAAACTATCAGCGGCTCCGTGGGAAAAAGATGAAGCGTTCTACTCCCATAAAGATTTACAGCCTCGGAAACCCTCGGAAACCCTGTGCAGGGTCAATATGAGTCAGAACTGACTCCACGGCACATAACAACAACAACCCAGCTAGAGTACATTGAACAAAATTCTTTAGAAAGTAAAAGGGAACAGGCAGAAGAGATAACTGCAATTATGTGCAAATCTTGTGTAGAAGTTATTCTGAAGAGGAGATCCAGAACATCTATCAGATTCTTAAAGAGGTAGAAACTACTACCTTAAAAAATTCTGTTTCTCTCACTGAAATTCTCATGGCAGTATGAGGAAAAGCTGTTATTCTTTATTTGTATACTTTTCGTAGAATGAATGAAAAAAAGGGAGGAAAAAAAGAGTGAAATAGCAACAAAAGAGAGTGAAGAGAATAAAGCGTGAATAACAACATACCGGAATACATCCTCTGGATGCCTGGAACCGAAGGAGTCAGCTCAGAGACCTCAAGGATCTCAGGGATGGGACTGAGAAGAGGTTTCTTAGAAGCAATTTCTCTTTCCCCATATAAAGACTTTTTGACATTCTGTTTTCCCCTTCCTTTCTTCTTTCTGCCACTTTTTAAAACCTGAAAAATGCATTCAAACTTTATAACTGACAAAGATGCATCACCATATACAATTTTGACCCTTTATCTTCTGTAAGACCTCTAACAGCCTTTTCTTAAGAAGGGAATTTTCACAGGAAAATATCACACCAGCAAGGTATGCCATGAAAACCTTAGGGAACAGAGTCATGGTGAGGGGGGTTAACTGACTTAACACTAAGTTAGATATAGTATAAAGCTGGGTTGTGGTTGTGGAATGCTGTCAAGCACTTTTGAACTCATAGCAACCCTGTATAGGGTGTCCGAGGAGCGGCTGGTTGAGTTTGAACTGCTGACTCTGCGATCCAGTATTTATACTACAGTGCCATGTCTCCACTATCATTAAGTGGCTAGGTGTGTCGCTGTAGGATAAGCACTGGATTACAAGGTTGGCTTGAACAACAACGCAAGCAGTTCAAACTCACCAGCTGCTCCTTGGAAACCCTACACAGGTCGCTATGAGTTGGAAACTACTCATAACTACTCACTTAACAACAAGAAGAACAATAGATGAGGTGGTACACAGTTAGACAAACTTAAGGTGCAATGAGACATTCATAACCAGGATATAGTTACAATGTCTCAGAATTACCCTGGTGTTGTTGTTGTTGTTGTTAAGTGTCGTTGAGTCAATTCCGACCCATAGCAACCCTGTACAGGATTTCCAAGGAGCAGCTGGTGAGCTTGAACCACTGACTTTATGGTTCAAACGACTTTGCAGTCTGACGCATTAGCCCACAGTGCCACATCAGGACTTCTAGAATGGCTACTTACTGTAATGCTATGTGATTATTTTCTGTTTTTAGAACTGTGTTAAGAAAAAGGTGTACAGAAATTTTGAAGATAACAGAAAATTAGCTGTGCTGAAACAACAAAAGAGGTTACATTCAAAATTAAAATTAGAATAGGCCTGTAAGAATAATTGGAGTCCTGGCGCGGTGCTGCAGGTTAATGCGCTGGACTGCAAGGTCAGTTTGAACCACAGGTTGGTGGTTCAAGCTCACCAGCCATTCCTCAGAAACCCTATACAGAGTTGCTATAGGTCAGAACCGACTTGACGGCACTTAATAACAAGAACAATTACATGGTGCCCTGCTACCACAACGGATGACTCTGATGGGAATCATAATAGACGATGCTGGACAGAGTAGGAGAAAAATGTGCAACAAATTTGAAACGACAAGAGACTACAACCCTTAGATAACCAGGAACTGAACCCACCCCCATGATATTACCGTTCAGTCCAAGAACAGACAGACCAATAAAGTAAACAGTCATACCCATGAGAAACATGCTTCTCAGAACAATCAGCCATACAAGACCCAAAGGGCAGCAATTGCCCAATGACAAGGTTCAGAAGGTAGGAAGAGGTTTCTATGGAAACAGGGAAACATGAGAGGAAGTTGGAAGAGTGATGTTACATTGAAAGGATTGCAACTAATGTCACGCCACAAAATGTGTATCAATTGTTGCCTGGAAAATGTGCTCAGCAAACTTTCACTCAAACCACAAAACAATGTTAAGGGGATAAAAAGTCATCTGGGATCATTTAAGGTGCTATGGGAAGACCCAGTTTCAATTCATTGTGAGAAAACTCATAAGGAAATTTACCAACAATGAAGTTAAAAAAAAAAAAAGTATATGAGCTTGAGAGTCAGAAAGGTCCAAGTCTGAATTCTGGCATAGGTTCTCAGCCTCCCAAGGCACCCTTGTGGCACAATGGGTCAGCATTGAGCTGCTAACTATAAAAGGTCAGTGGTTCTAACCCATCAGCTACTCCCTGGGAGAAAGAAAAGGTAATCTGCTTCTATAAAGATTTACAGCCACTGAAACCCTAGAAAGCAGCTAAACTGTATCCTATATTTATTATGAGTTGGAATTGAGACAGTGGGTTTGGTTGTTTGTTTTTGAGTCTCCTATTTTCATGTGTTAATTTAGCTACAGTGATTTTGCATAATGCTTCGAAAGTGAAAAGGAATGAGAAAGGATCAACCACAATAATAATAATAAAAACAAATCAATATATTCCAAGGGAATTAAAAGCAGCTACATTAATGGACACATGTACACCAATTTTCACTGCAGTATTCTTCACAACAGTCGAAGGTGAAACCAACCTAAATGCCTATCAAAGGATGAATGGATACACAAAATGTAGTACATATAGAACACGGGATACCACTCAGACGTAAAGAGAAATGAAGTCCTGACATATGCTACAATATGGATGAACATGTAAAACATGATGCTGAGTGGAATAAATCAATCAAAAATAGTGTAGGGTATTGCTTATATGAAATAACAAAAACAAATAGTGATCAGAGTTTATCAGTGGTTTTACAAGAGGTGAGAAAGCGGGAGAAGCAGGCGTCATTGTTTAGGAAGCACTGAGATTTGTTTTGGGTGATGATTTTAGTAAAGAATATTGGTGATGGTTCCAGAAAATGGCTAATATAAATGATGTAATCAATTGTACACCTGGAAAATGCAAATTGGCAAGCTGTGTTTTATGTATTTTGATAATAAAAAATAGGTAAGAGAACAAACAAGATGGCGGACCAGGTGGAAGTGCAGTGAGGAGCTCCATCAGCAACAACACAGAATACTGGACCAAGGGGATGGTGCCAGAACTCTGAACCATATATAAAAGAATATTTAGAAGGTTGGAAGGCTTACAACTAGGGGAATTTGTAGCAGAAGAAAGAAATCCATTGCTTTCTAATTCAAGCTGCTCAGCTGCTCCCGGAGCCACCATCTTGGGAGAGACCAAGTAGGGGAAGAATCAGAACAGCCACCAACAACTGACAGAACCACGGAAATACAGATGTGGACATTCCTTTTTATTGTATCTGTTCATTGGTCTCTCGCTGTCTGCGCACCTCCAATCTGGTAACTAGAGGGGGTGCCTGATTGAGTGGACAACCCCAGAAGGTTCTATTTCGCATGTGCACAGATCTCCTTGATATTTAAAGTGAGTTTCCACTTAAAAACAAAAGCTAGGGCAAACCGGCCAAACCGACCTTGAACTGTTTATCACTAGGAAAAAAGTCTGAACGGGGACTGTGGAGCAGGACATGCAGACTAAAAAGGAAATAGGCTGAAAGTTAAATCCTGAGTTATGTCACAATGACCAACAGTGGCATCTTCAAATTTATCAGCAAGAAAAGTGAAAACGGAAGCCCATCTCCTGATCACATCTACCTAGAGACAATCAGAAAGCATAACAAATACTAAAATACCCACCCATCTAAGTATTAAGGCCACACATAACTCCTGAATATGCCCCAAAACAGAAACAGATGACCATATTAGCCCATGTCCAGAAACAAGATAAAGTGACTGAGCCCAATGAGCTGGAAGTAGACCTACACTCCATACAGGAAGATGGGCAGACTTTGGAAATGCCTGAGAAGGAATTCAGAAAAATGATTATAAAATGTATCAAAAAAACTATGCAATGGAGTTGAGAAAAATACAGAAGAAGTCAGGAAAGTGCTATAGAAACAATCAAATAAGATAGATACAGCATTGGA